GTTTGTCTGTCTGTCTGTCTGCTACAAACCTTGTAATCGAAATTTAACACACTTCTACTTATCTCATCGATCTGAAATTTTGCATACTTGTTTAAAGTTGGAGACAATGCATGAATCGAATGTCAAAATAAATGATTTTAAAAAGTAAAAAAAATTTTTCCAATATTTAAAAATTGAAAAATAATTTTGTCAGCTACAAATCTTATATCTGATATTTGACACACTTTTACGTGTCTAATTGATCTGAAATTTTGCACACCTGTGTGGAATCAGATTCAATGCATGAATCAATTAACAGAATAAATAATTTTGAAAAAATTTGTATATTAAAAAAATTATATATATTAAAAAAATTGAAAAGTAAATTTTTTAATTTTCGAAAATTAGATGAGAAATTCATTGTACATCTGTAAGATTGGAGATACTGGATTCTTTGGAAGTGTTGTCTTTAAAAAGTAATTTTTAAACGTATATTATTTTACAACGCTTCTCTTTAACTTCACTTCTTGTTGTCTGTCTGCTACAAATCTTATAATCGATATTTAACCCACTTCTACTTGTCCAATCGATCTGAAATTTGGCATACATGTGTAAAGTTGGAGACAGTGCGTGAATCAATTGACAGAACAAATGATTTTGAAAATTAAAAAAATGTTATTTATAATATGTAAAAAAATATTAATAATTTCGTCTGCTATATGTCTTATAATCGCTATTTAACACATTCCTATATTTCCAATCGATCTGAAATTCAATTCAATTGACAGAATGATTCAATGATTCAATTGACAGAATAAATAATTTTGAAAAATTTGATTTTTTTGATTTTAAAAATGAAAGTACAAAGTTTTTTAATATTTGTTAAAAAATTTTGAAATTCATTCTACATTTGTAAAATCGCAGACACTGAATTCTTTGGAAGTATTGTCTTTAAAAAGTAATTTTTAAACGCATATTATTTGTTTCAAATTTAAGCCACGTCAAGCTATGAGAAAGTTTTAACCTAAATCGTTTCCACTGAAGGCTTCCTTATGAAGGTATGAATTTTCTCGAAGAATGCACTTCTTCGAGCGTTAAGGGGATCTCGAAGTATATTTTGTTTTAAGTAAAAACATTTTTGATGTTTAAATTTCACTAGGTTCAATGTTCGTCTGACCTCGTATAAACGCATTCCGGTCGAGCAAACAAGGTTAGCGCTCTATATCGTCGTTGGCATCAAGGGCGGCGAGGGTGAACAACTGCACTGCATTATAGAGGCACGAAACTATGGATACGTGCGATAAACCTGCCATCCCTTCGATTATATGCTTATATTATCTTGTTCTTTTGAATGTCTTAACCAATTCAGCGAATTTCAGATGCATAAAATAATCAAGCCATGAATAATATGCCAGTAATAAATTTCCGAGTCATCATCTGATGCATTTTTGACGGGTAATTCTGGCAAAAATTTCTGGTCATGTTATAATTATAATTAAAACCGCGTGATTATATGTTGTGCTGCAAACTTATTCAGCAACAATTATAGTTGTGAAATAACTAAATTAGCTCAATATTTTAAAATAAAATCCATGCAATGAATTCTTGGTAAAAATTTGTGAGTAATGAGAATCCGTAAAGCGTGTGTCGTCAAACTCATCCATGTTGGATGCTTATCTGGTATTAATCTACACAAGAAATAAATATGAATAATTACGTCGTTGCCCCGTGAGTCGATCACGCAGCGATGACGGCAGTCAACTCGCCGCTCGTCAATACTAACACTACAATACTGATCACAATTACTATGTGTTATGCTCAATTATCGCTTATAAATTGCTTGCTTTTTAGATCTCACTCGAGAGACTTAATTCAGTTCTGTTTATGATGAAGAAATAATATCGTTCACTATTTCGCTTCTAGATGTTTGAGCAAATTAATTATTTCGGAACGAGACTATAAACAGACGCAAACTCTTTCTCAGACTTGTTCGTAATTGTGCATCACTTTCAATCATGTTTGATAATAGAAATAAAAAGATTCAATATCCTTGTTACAATTTCGCTTGTACTTGTCTGACGTACGTTAATTACAGTAACAATCCATCGATCTTTCTGAAGTCATAGCAAACCATCTACTTGTAATTGCTCTCGGTGAATAGAGAATAAAAAGATAATTGTGCCCCCTGGGCTGGTTTCCACGAAGTTACGATGAAGAAAGGTTTTGAGTAAAGAAGTAATTTAGATGAAAATAAAAAAAAGGATTTTAAAATCAAAAAAGGTCTACCAAATAAAGTGGAGTAGTGGAGCCTACTCATGGTTATTATAATGTACAGAATATCTTCTTTCTAAAAAATAAATAATTTTTCAAAATTTGGCCGAAAACTTTGGAAAAATAACTTTTCAATTTTCATGTCGTAAGCTGCGCCATCAGCTTCAATTAATTTGGTTGAATTTTCTCAGCTCAGGCTTTGATTTGAATGGAAAAAGTTGTACTGACTGGACTCCAGAGAAATAGCATGAAAAGCAATTTTCTATATTGGTTGGAGCTACTGGAAATTGTCTGCGTACTGGAGTCTACGTAATGTGAAACTAATATTTAATTATCATGTTTCAGTGTCTTACCACATTTATATTAATGAGAGTGTAATATTTTTGCTGGATTTTTGGAGAGAGTTTCAGACTACCTCATCATAATTTTCAAATTATTTGTCTAAGCTAATAATGATAGTAATATTATGATAATAATATAAAAATACTATAATAATACTAATAACAATACTAATAATACAATAAAAATAATTATAATCATAATATTTTCATATGCTTGAGTAAATCCATATCGTGTTAATCTCCAAAGAGTATGACGTGAAGGCCTCAAAGCTAATTCACAATTTATTTATTTCTCCTTGAATATCTGTTATTTGTATGTTTAATTTAACATATCAATATAAATGATCAAGCATTTACACTCCCCTTTATTGCTGATCCGTTGACAAGTGTTGGACGTGCTAATGTTGTCCAACTCCATACTTGTATCCGCCAATGTTTTACTTGTGTCATCCAGCGCTGTTCTTATACTAGGCAGATCAGTACTTGTATAGGTCAAAGCTGCAATAATGTTGGCCAACGCGCTGTACTTATATATCGGTCATGTTATACGTTTATCGGTCAACGCTGTACTAATGTTTGCCAAACCATTACTTCTATTGACTTAAGTTGTGTTTATACGTATACCATCCAACTTTTTATGCATATTGCCAACGTTGTACTCATATTGGGCAACGCTGAATGAATTCAGAATGGCCTTCATTGTGAAATCAAAAGGCATGATCTTCCTGAGCACCTTGGTGTTGCGGCTCAGCGTAGCGTGTAGCAGGCAAGCAAAGCTCTACTGCACAAGCTCATTGATTCATCAACAACGGCTGTTGCTTGACTGATTGTGTTGAGGTGAATTCGATAAACTAATGAGTTGGAACCCTATACTCACATACGACGTTGTTATAGAATCTGGATTCACTGGCTGGAAAAATACATAAATTATTTGTAAAATATTCAGTGATCGCATTGCGTAGTCACAATATGGGCATGACTTGCGAGCTGAGGCTTGTTTTGAGTGCGCTGCAGTCATCGTTATTTTTAAAGCTGCTGTACGTTTAAGCAGTCAGTTAAGCTCAGCTAGGTTTGTTTGAGTGCGCTGCAGTTGCCGTTATTTTTAAAGCTGCTGTACGTTTAAGCGGTCAGTTAAGCTCAAGTGTTTTGAGTGCACTGAACTGGGCGTTATTTTTAAAGCTGCTGTACGTGTAAGCGGTCAGTTAAGCTCAGGGTTGCTCTGAGTGCGCTGAACTCTGCGTTATTTAAAGCTGCTGTACGTTTACGAGGTTAGCGTCAGCACGGATTTATCCGCTAACTGCATTTTTGCTCGGACGTCGCTGCCATGATTTTGCCCGTTGGCCTCTGCATCACTAGGATGATGAATTCAGTGAGATTTACAAGACCTGGCAAAAGTAGGCATATGTTAATGTTTCATTTAATTTTTATCCTTATAAAAATTATTTCAAGTTAATTTATTTTATGTAAAACCTACAAAATAAATGCAATTGACTTCCCAAGTGAGCAATCTGATAAATTTGTTCAGCTAGCCAGAACTGTTGGATGTACAAGTAGATCTGCAGCAGTAATGCCAATTTATTTTGATTAGTTTTTATTACCCATAATCCTAATAGAGTTTAATACTTATTCACAAAATCAGGAAATATTCATGATTTAAATGTTAATTGAACGACTTTTATATTAAAAAAGAAATTGCATATTAAATTTGAGAAATGATACACGACTTAAAATGAACTACATCATGACCACATCGCGCCAAGTACACAAAATTAAAAGACTTTCATCTTTTGCACCGAATAATGAATGACCTGCGCCTACAAGTGAACCTCTGTAACGCCCGCCACTAGCACCCACAACGCCCACAACCTAACACCCACAACGCCACCACCGAACACCCACAGAACCCGCCACCGGACGCCTTAAACGCCCGCTACCAAACACCCAAACGCCCGCCAACAAACTCCCCAACAGCCTCCACCGAACACCCAAACACCCGCCACCGAACACCCAAACATCCGCCACCGAACGCCTAAACATCCTCCACCGAACACCTAAACACCCGCCACCGAACACCCAAACACCCGCCACCGAACACCCAAACATCCACCACCGAACGCCCAAACATCTTCCACCGAACACCCAAAGGCCCGTAACCGAACCCTGTGACCTCGGTTACGTGAATATCTGATGTAGCTATGGGACGTTATTCATCCAGAGCAGTAGAACAAAATTTTACCCTATATACCGGGCGGCAGTTTGTTTGGGTGTTATTGGCAAAACTTGTTCATCCTGAAGTCCTTATGCTATCGCTGTGTCGGTTAAAAAAGCAATCCTCGCAAATACAAATGTACCTAAATTTTCATCATAAAAACATTGTTTCTAATACATAAAATGTTATTTTTGGGGCAGTTCACGCGCTGCCGAACTTGACTGTGCTGTCGCTGAGCGGCTGTAGCAAGATCACCGACGAGGGCGTGGAGCTCGTGGCTGAGAACCTGCGCAAGCTGAGGGCCCTCGACCTCTCGTGGTGCCCTCGGATCACCGACGCCGCCCTCGAATACATCGCATGTGACCTCACTAATCTTGAGGAGCTCACGCTAGACAGGTTAAAAATGTTTTGAACAAATATTGAATGCGTGAGAGGGACATAAGGTTTGTGTCAATCATAATTCACTCTTTGCATTAAGACTTATTGTCCAATGCTAATAGAACACACATCTTCTCACGTGTCTAGTGAATTATGGATTTCAGGCAAGCACAGAAATACTCAAGAGTAAATTGCTGCAAGCCGCTTCAGAAGAAAAGTTTTACCGCCAATTTATTAAACTGTAGAACGTTGGGTAGTACTCATTTTTATCGCGTTATGGTCATTGTAAAAGTAGCCAAATCCTATAAATGGTTCACATTAGTTAACATTTTGAGTGCGACACGATCCACCGGTGGGCTGCAGGGTCTTTTTTCCGGACAAATTCCGCAATTAGTTTTTTTTTCAATTACGTTTATAGACAAAAATTCGTTATGGCAGGATTACCTGATTAAATTTTAAAAAGTACAGAGAAAAGGAGAATTTAATTTTTGCAGCGGAACCTAGAAATTTACTAGAATAGTTTGAATTATATGCCTTTTTATCCGCAGATTTGGCCATTTTTAGGCCATCTGGCAGCGCTGGTGTGTCTTGCTGCACTCAACCTGCTAATTTATCAAAGTTTGCTCGCTAATACAAACAAACGAAATATACTATTCAATTTTTCAACATATAGCACATCCAAAGCAATCCACTCACAAGTTATCAGCCTTTTCATCCTCCTGGTTGAGAATAAGGGTTGCAGCTTTGAAATTCTGTGCACAACCTTAGGATTTTGAATTTACTGATTCCACACTTAAAACTAGGTGCATTTATAACTTCCTAAGTTACAGATATTATTTTTGCGTTAATTTAAAATAAAAGAAATTGCGAAAGAAAGTATCCATATTTTCCTTGAACTACCCCAAAATTGTTAGTCTACATTTAAATAATAAGTGCGTAATCATAACACACAAATAAATTTACACGAATTTCGACAACTAGTTGAAATACTAATTTGATGGACTGCGAATATTTAACATTGATAGAATTTTTCTTAAATACGTTATTGCGCGGATTACTCCTTCTACATCAACGATTAAGTCGGTAGTCGATAAGATATGCTAATTTTACCAATGATTCTCATTAACAGATACATCCCATGTTCTCAAAGGATTATATAGATGCAATTCATCCGGAAACCCAATTTACCAACAAATATGTACATAGAATGTCCGTTTCCTTCGACGACAAGTTATTTATTCATCGAGAAGTATTTGTCTCTTCTCGAGTAATAAATCAGATAAAATGGTTGAGTAGGTCTTCTAGTTTTCCGCATCAACTAATGTTTAACACGGTCTCATATATAGTGCCTTGACTTCAGGGAGAGGAGTCTACGTCAATACTACGTTCAACATATAGCTACACTGAACATATAGCTACACCGCACCTACGTTCAACATATAGCTACTCTGAATCGCTACACCGCACCTACGTTCAACATATAGATACTCTGAATCGCTACACCGTAACTACGTTCAGCATATAGCTAAATTGCTACACCGTAACTATACGTTCAGCATATAGCTACTCTGAACATTTAGCTACACCTTAACTACGTCAAACATCTTGCTACGCTGAACATATAGTTATTATACCTTCACAAACGCTTCGCCCGAGCAGATGTGTGCACATCACGGACATCGGCGTGGGCTACGTGTCGACGATGCTGTCGCTGACGGCGCTGTACCTGCGCTGGTGCTCACAGGTGCGGGACTTCGGGGTGCAACATCTCAGCTCCATGCGCGGCCTGCAGGTGCTCTCCTTGGCAGGTCAGTGCAGGTGCTCTCCTTGGCAGGTCAGTGCAGGTGCTCTCCTTGGCAGGTCAGTGCAGGTGCTCTCCTTGGCAGGTCAGATACTCGCCATGGTTAACTGTCGTGTATTATACGTTTATCTCTTGATAACATGATAATATTCATGAAAAAATTCATTGACTCCGTTTCAATGATTAAATTTAAATATTAGGAGTCACTCTTTTGCGGCAAAAAAATATTATATTTTTAAAGTCATTGAAATGTTGATTTTTTCAAAATATTTTCTTTAGAAATTTTTCATTATTTTTATCTTAATTCAGGCACATCACATTAACTTCTAAGTAAACTTTTTAATTATAAATGTAAATTTTATTCTTCACCTAAAGTATTTGCACATAATCTAACAATATCATCGGTCAAAGAATGAGTGATAAGCAGGAGCTGACGTAAAAACATCGCATCAGATAAGCACCAACATTTCAAAGTATTTAATTCGTCATCAGTTGGGATTAAAGTTGTTCGCTTGCAGCTTCAAATAATCACTAATTATGATACAAACGTTCATAGTAACTCTCACCACTTACTATGCAAAGTTGGAATCAAATCGAAAGTAAAAAGTATTGGAAAAAATAGTTTATAATATTTTAATTTCGCTTTGAGCCATGTACATGGCTAACATCATCCTCCGCAGAGTTGGAGAAAATCTTCAAAATTTAGAGAATGATGACGGGACCGCCGTGCTGGCCAAATATTGGCCTTCTTCAAAGGGAGATCGTGATACAGGCACAAGCTTTCTGAGCCAGCGTTTCATTACTGCAATACTGTGCATTTGCACCAGCTGCTCCTTAATGAAAGACCATATGTTTTGCGGAGGCTACTGCCCGATAAAGACCGTGTGCCTTGCGTATGTTATTACCTAAACAAATTTTGATCGTGTGTTTTGCTCTCTAGAAAATCATTTGTTTTGCACGTTCTTTAACAAAATTTTGCGTATTTTACGCAGGCTGCTCTCAGGTGAGCTCGAGTGGACTGTCGTCGCTAGTACAGCTGCGTCATCTCCAGGAGCTTGAGCTCACCAACTGCCCTGGAGCAACTCCCGAACTGCACCAGCACCTGCACCAACACCTCCCCAACTGTCTCATCATCGAGTGATGGTCGTGGCAGCAGCAGCTCTGCACCTACACTAGCACCATGCAGCGCGTGCACTAACACGATCGCTTTCCTTCGGCTGATTCATCTGCTAGTGCTGGTTTGATGCTCTGACGTTGAGTTGACCTCATGCACAAACGTCCGCTCACCGTGCGTCATCGTTCACAAACGTCTCATGGAAAGTGAATTTCTCTCTCTCTGTTCCTCTTGCTTCGCACTCAACTACGACACGCAGACGTGAAGTGTGATGCTCCAGCTGTAGGAGAGTCATGTGCCAACTACAGCATTTACAGCTCTGAGTAAAATACATTGAGCTCTGACTCAAGCAACTGCAGCACAGATTACAGGAATTGCTTCATCGGCTTGTGAGATCACTGATGAGTCTCATTCAATATCCCTATTTGCAAGCACAATTGTTACTTCTGGAGCTGCAAACTTCAGTTATAAAAATGTAGCACGAATTGTAAACTTGGCCTCCTCACATTTCAGCCTCAGCACTCCAAGCTACTCGTGGCGACAAGTTATCTCCCACAAAGATAATGTGAAAGGATCATCTGTGCCAAGGGTCATTGGGTACGCTAATTTCGTTCAAAAATAGTTCGGTAAACTCATGGATTTCTCAAAAAATGAATTATTTCCTCCTAAATTAGGAAAAAATTCTTTGGGGAGATCTTTGATTTGAGTAGTTACATGAAGTTGAAAAGTGTTCAAATGTGTATGAGTTAATTAAGGAAGAAACCACTAGTTTCATCTAATTGAAGATCCGTTCTGTCTCATTTGCGATCGCCGATCAATTTTTAATTATAACCACGTTTTCTTCGGTTTAGAATTTTTCCTCCTACAAGCTCGATAAAAACGATTTTCTCATTTGTCTTTCTTGTCATTTTACTTTAACTTTACAGTTGCACTCCAGAAACACTGACCATTTCTGTAGGATGAATATATATCACTTGTTTGCTTAAATCGCAAATTAACTAAGAATTTAAAAGCAAAGAAAAGTCCACAAAAATTCATATCTTTATAGAAAACGTTTCGGAGACCAGCTCCATCGTCAGTTCGTATAATCTAGAACGGAGCAAAAAAAAAAACTATCTATTAACAATTTCAAGGGGATAGGAGCTAGCAGCTGAATTCAAACTGGGCCTAAGTTTAAAGATGTACAGCGATTCTAAAATACGCAAATCGGAAGTCCCGGAGGTGGAAGCTAACACCCTAAAGTCACTGTCAGAAACGGGGACATCACACTGCTCGGCGTGAGCGCGCACAGCGCACTGTAGGATATTCGGGGATATAGTACATTGACGATATATTCAACGTTTCGAGGTAACAGGATACGTTGTTTTATCGGTCCTATTCCATGTATGTTTGTATCTACAAAAAATCGTCTTCCGCAGTGACCAGAAGCTGCTGTATCATATCTCAGCTTTGGATAAAAAATGTCTACTTGAAAATTATTACTCAGTCTGTTCGTGTTGCACACGTGAATATCAAGAATTATGCAACTATTCCAGTTTTTCGTTAATGGAAAGAGACGTAGAGAACTAAATTAAAAATACACAAATTTTGCGTCATAAGGCTATGTTGAACTGTATTCCTATTAAGATAGCATGTGAGGTACCGGAAAATTTTGCGAAGCATGGTTTATTTCTGCAGCGAATAACATCTGCGACGAGTGAGCATTTGCGCTGTTTCCTATATATATACGCTACTGCAGCTCAGCTCAAATCCATAGAAAATTTGACCGATAGAAAACTTTACCCTGATCCGTAATCATTATCGTAAGCAGCAATAAACGAATCAATTATAAGTCTGATCAGTATTGATAAGCCGCCGTACTAGTCGTGTCAAGCTTTTCTCGTTGCAATCAATCCGCTATCATTTCATATGACAGATATTCTCGCATCCAGTTTGCGCTCATAAGTGTGGATTTGCTCATAAATGTTGGCTGTACATTATTTAAATGACTTTAAATCTCTCATAAAGTAACCTGCAATTTTCTTCAATTTCCTGGAAATATTGAAAAAGTTTGTTAAAACTCTCTCAATTCGAATTCATTCTTCGTGAGCAAAATGAACATCGGCGCATTAACGAGTTAATTAATCGACTCAACTTTTTATGTTATTATGTTCAATTTTTCTTGCGTTAGTGTAGCAGCGAATATAATTCAATTGCTAAGAAATGATTGTGGGAGTAATCAAAACATCGCACAGATTGCTTAATTTTAATTTTTTCATTTAAAATAAATGCAACTTGTTTTATAAAGCGAAAGTTTCTGGGAGCGTCCACCCTAGCTGTACCGCTCAAGCAGAAATTTTGAGCCAACAAGATGAATAAATAGGCTTTTTTTTATTTAGGGTAATGAATGTAAGAGTAACGATGAGAGTTTTTTATGCCTCCTTACGCGTCTTTTAAATATGGCCTAAAATAATTACTTATCACGCGGGTCCATGCTCATTTGTTGATGTTTTCTTACTGCTTTTAGTGGAGTGAAATAATTGTCATAGTTATTCAAAAATCCCGATCATGTGATTTCAGGGAATTCTTCAAAAATGTTTTAAAATTTCCGTCCATTCGTGATTTTTAGTGCCAATCTCATGCGGATTATCCCAATCTTCGTAAATCCCCACAACTAATTTTAGTGGTTACTTTAAAATAATTCTAATACTTAAATAACTAGTATGTTTGAGAGGGCTTACCGGACACATATGATTTCTCGTATAGCTATTAATACCCGTTCTTTGTAACTTTGTAAAAAATTCATGATTACGAGCGTAAAATGGTTCATTTTATAACAATTTTTCCGAAGATTTTTCTCATTAATTCAGTAATATTTTGTAACAAGTTCTATCCGACTCATTCCACTGTAGATACTGTATCAGTGCACGATAAGTGGGGTGGTGAGAAACTGCTTATGAATCTGAAATCTCCAGAGATTTCGTCACTTGATAACAACTTCATTTTTATTTAAAGCTTTGATGGTGTTGCCTCCCGATACCTCCTAATATGTTCCTTACCGAGAATGAAAAATAAACCGTGAGCGTCCACAGCTAAAAAGCTATACCTACTATTCAATAATAATAACTCCGAGCTGTAAGGCATCCTTCAATACCTGTTAACCCGCTACATGTTCGATGGCATCTTCCCGCAATCCATGTTTTGTTGTTAAATGTATATAAATGTTAAATATATTTTTCTAAATGGTCTCCAAGCCCTTAGCACGGAAGTGGAATCTTTATCTCAATGGCTCTGACCACATAACTGATGCACGGCGTTTTAAAAATGCAGCTTGAGTGCATGTTGTAGCTCTTTTCTCCTTGCCTTCTAACCAAGCTGATCAACTCTCTTTATGATAGATAATTCAAGTCATTAGTATAGTCTTATAACAACTTGAATGTTTCAACGTATTGTGAGATAAATGGCAACGTCTTCGATTTTGACTAGAACAAAAGGATTGCCGGTTAAGTTTCTTTTCCTAGCTCCCTGTTGCTTCGCAGGTTGATGATCTAAATGGTTTGCAGAAACCTTGAATTTTTACAAATTTTACGAGTTCAAGAAGAAGCACACGATGGGCCCAGCAGTCAGGGCCCTCGGTGTAACTAGCAGTCAGGGCCCTCGGTGTGCCCAGCACTCAGGGCCCTCGGTGTGCCCAGCAGTCAGGGCCCTCGGTGTGCCCAGCACTCAGGGCCCTCGGTGTGCCCAGCAGTCAGGGCCCTCGGTGTGCCCAGCACTCAGGGCATTCGGTGTGCCCAGCAGTCAGGGCCCTCGGGGTGCCCAGGAGTCGAGGCGCGCGTCCAATTGAACATCGAGTGCAGAATTCCAATTTTTCCTCCCTTGCGTTCTCTGAGCGCACAAAACACATTTGCTTAGTTCAATAATTTGCGCTTCTGTGTGTAATGTCGAAATTAGAGTTTGGTATTATTATTGCTATTATATTTTCGTAAATAAGGATACAGTTTAATGCCATTTTTTTATTCAATATTAGTACTTAAACTGAATTAGTGCACTCTAGCAAAATAACGTTTAGTTTGTAAATGTCGCTGTTCATGATTGTTTAGCCTTAGACGCAAGATAATTTGCTCCTTTGAACTTAATTGCAACATGACCATATCAAATATTTCGTGGCTTATTTCAGGCATCGTGCGCACTTTAGTCATAATGAAAGATAATTTTTTACGCGATTTAATTCTCTACCTCTAAGCTATGACTTCATCTGCTTTCGCACTTGCGATATTCTTCTTTACTGGAGGAGTTCGCTTGTAGATGAGATGCCAATTGACTTAGATCGTTACTTAGCGTAATTATGAACTAAAGCTTACGGCAACTCTAAGAAAGTTCATGAAAAGCTTCATGGTCTCTGGGAGAAGTTTCCTCGGTCAAGATAATTTTTTTTAGTATCGATTCGTTTTAAGTTCCTTCCACAGCAATTTTGGGCAACGGAATACCACTGTTTTATTTAGGATTGATTAACATATTCCTAAATTATGTTTGGTATTCATTTGAATACTGTATTCAATACGTAGATTAGAAATTAAATACTGCTTGAAGATTTCTTGTAATAGAACCATCGTGGAATCGCTGCTGTTTTTCTTTAATTTTTCGAGCGTTAATATATCAAGGGATTAACTAGTCCCAAAATTTGTGTCTAGTGTTTATTTTGTAAAGTAAACTATAATTAAGGTATTTAATTTCTTAATATTAGTTGCAACTAGTGTGGGTACAGCGCAATAATTACCAGCTTGCACGGCGTAGTGAAATGAAGAAGCCTTTATGCCTGTAACTTTGATTCGTTGCACTGAGTTCTTATATCATGAACTGTGGTATGCAGGCCTCTCTTACTTATTCCAATAACGTAGTTTTTAGAAAGATTTAAGTTATCTCGGTTCATAGGAAATGTAAGGTGCATTAGTTTCGCCGATCTTGTTTAGCCAATCAAGCACTCGAAAGGAAATGAAATCTAGAAATTTCGCCACGGGAATTCCTTTGCGGTAGTGTTAAAACCGTTAACTATTATTTTATTATTATTAACCCCCTAACTATTATTTGTTCTATTCCTTTTCTCCAAGATTTCACTGCGCATGCCTAATGTGACTAGGCTTTGATTAGAATTTTCACTTGCAGCGCATAACCAAATAATGTCCATAGATTATATCTTGCTCGTATCAAATTTCAATTAAATCTTCTCATTAAAATCACAATGCAAAATAAAATTATAAAAAAATGCACAATAAAATATCATATATTTGATGGTTTTACCTGTACAAAATTAATTAAATTTAAAGATAATTTGTGTTTCTTGAATAATTCTCTAGTGAGCACGCCGGGATAGGAGAGAAGCAATGTCATGATTTACACGGAGATATTTATCTGCCACCATTCAAGCTCATAACTTTGTTATTAATTATTCCATCCAATAGTTGAATGTACTGTTTGAGTGTACATATAATTAGGATTAAAGTGTGGCCGCTCACTGAACCCTTTATGTGATGGAGACGTCAGATGTGGAAGGGGACCTCACGACAGTTCTCAAATACAGTAATAAACATTATGAAAAGGAAACTGAGCTAAATAATTACTAAATTACTAATTACCAGTAGTATTGCGTTGTGCCATTGGATCAGCAGCGTGTTAAACACATCATTAACGTCTTAAAGTGAATAACATACTCATCCCCACTGGCTATAATAGCACGTGTTATCCTGTCAAGAATTTGAAGATTCAACAAGCGACTATCTTGAAGCTGAGCCACTTCCTCGAGTCTAGGTGGATAAGCAAACCAGACATATGTACCTACCCTTACCCAGTGCTTATGCATGAAGAAAGTACTAGCCGATAGTATTAGCGGCATGTACTTTCCACTTGAAATGGCAGGCTAATTTCTTCTTCAGCGGAAAGATGGAGGTAACGGACGCTTGCAGTGAAAAAAGTTTGTTT